AGATCAACCTTGGTTGGCGCTTGCCACGCCCGCCAATCTTTGTTAAGACCGTGCAACGAGTTTACTTCTTTAAGAAAAGCCCCATGAAATCACATGTTGTCATCTTGCCTTGGGCTCTGTCAGTCCGCTCCCCGAGGCCGCTGTGTGGAGGAAGTTTCGCCCCATCAGCGCCCGGGTCTCCACAGCCGTATCCATTTTCCAAGATGTGCTCCAACTTGTGGTGTGCTTCTGGAAGTTGGCGCATTGGGAAGTACACAGCAAAATTGTCAAGAGGCATGTATACGCTGTGATAGGCCCTGGCTATCCGACACACACGCTGGGTCTTGGTTCTATCCAACCCCATGAAGAGACCTCTCCGAGAGGGTTCAGGAGGTTTAAACGCAGTTGCAGTTGCTATGAATTCTTGCCTTTGAGCATATTTCCTGGGACAGGGCTTCAACACAAGAAATCCAACCGTGAACGCAGTCTGTGTGCTGATTGATTGCATCCCCATGCGACGTGGTTTGGCAAGGCCTCTACGCTGACCGCGAGGCCCCCCCCACATGTAGGTTTAGAGGTGTAGAAGCAGGAGACCTAGAGATCTAGACGTCTTACGTTCCAAAGAAATCAAAAACTTTGGAGCTTTTGAGATTCAAAAATGTTGTGAAGACCAGACAAATTTTCTCCGAAAGATCTCGAGTTATAGACCTACGGTGGATGGAACGAACCTTGCACTACCTTTAGCGATCTTCTAAAATAGTGACATGTAAGGTTCCTGCCTCCCAGTTGGGCTAGAGATTGTGCATAAATCCACACTCTGGCTCGACTAGGGTCTGTCTTGGGGTTGTCTCTCTCTTCTAAAATAGTGACATGTAAGGTTCCTGCCTCCCAGTTGGTCTAGAGATTGTGCATAAATCCACACTCTGGCTCGACTAGGGTCTGTCTTGGGGTCGTCCCTCTCTTCTAAAATAGTGACATGTAAGGTTCCTACCTCCCAGTTGGTCTAGAGATTCTAAGTTAATGACATGTAAGGGTTTGGGCTTCTAAGCGGTTGGTTGAGCTCAGCTCGGGTGGGTCTTGGGGGTGTCTCTCCCTCTTCTAAAATAATTGGGCTAAAGTTTCGGCACAAATCCGCCGTCTGGCTCAACTAGGGTCTGTCTTGGGGTTGTATCTCTCTTCCAAGATAGTGACATGTAAGGGTTTGGGCTTCTAAGCGGTTGGTTGAGCTCAGCTCGGGTGGGTCTTGGGGGTGTCTCTCTCTTCTAAAATAGTGACATGTAAGGTTCCTGTCTCCCAGTTGGGCTAGAGTTTCGGCGTAAATCCACCGTCTGGCTCCACTATAGGGTCTGTCTTGGGGTTGTATCTCTCTTCTAAGATAGTGACATGTAAGGGTTTGGGCTTCTAAGCGGTTGGTTGAGCTCAGCTCGGGTGGGTGTTGGGGGTGTCTCTCTCTTCTAAAATAGTGACATGTAAGGTTCCTGCCTCCCAGTTGGGCTAGAGTTTCGGCATAAATCCACCGTCTGGCTCAACTAGGGTCTGTCTTGGGGTTGTATCTCTCGTCTAAGATAGTGACATGTAAGGGTTTGGGCTTCTAAGCGGTTGGTTGAGCTCAGCTCGGGTGGGTCTTGGGGGTGTCAAGCTCAAGCTTTCATAGTTTCCTTGCTTCTGCTGGCCTCTGCAAGCTCAAGGTTTCAAGGTTTCTGGCCTTTTCTTGGCCTTTACAAGCTCAAGGTTTCAAGGTTTCTTGCCTTTTCTTGGCCTTTTGCAGCAAGCGCAAGGCCTTGCGCAAGCAAGGTTTCAAGGTTTTTGGCCTTTCCTTGGCCTTTGGAAGCTCAAGGTTTCAAGGCTCCTGGCCTTTTTCTTGGCCTTTGCAAGCTCAAGTTTTTAGCCTTTTCTTGGCCTTTTCAAGCTCAAGG